GTGCAGTCTGCCTGTGTAATTTATAGTTCTCTGAGAGACTTTTTTAGCAAACCCCAAAGCCTTTTGCTGGCTGGCAATTTCATAGAAAGAATGAAAATTGTACCTTCACCATTCGTGCAGTGCTGCTGTGGGATTTTAGTCTTACAGGCATTTCTGCATTGCTCTGGAAGATGCTGATACTGTCAGACTGAGACCTTTTTGACTTGTGGTGGCCCTGGATTCAGCGGTCAGCTCCGCTTTTCTGCCAGAGGCATGTTTTGTCACTCAGCAGGACTCACAGTTCATCTGGCGGGGTAACTCAAACCGACTGCCCGGGATGGATGTGACCTGGGGTGTCTGGAGGTGCTGCTTACAATTTCAGGCCAGGGCAGTGGTTTGGCAGTGGAAAGGCTGCTGTGCCTTTCTGGAGGAGCTGCAGTGAGCAGAGACCAGCCGAGCCTAGCAGTGCTCATTGCCTCTGGGTTGCAGAGGGCAGGTTTGGCACAGTTTATCACGGGACAACTCTGGCGAGATTTGAAAAATGATTTTTTTGGAGTCACTGCTGCCTTAAATTGAAATTCAAATCCTTGAATACCTGATACAGCAATAGCTTCACAGAACTGCAGGGGGAAGCAGACGACCGCTAATGGATGGCCTAGAAATGGAATTGGTATTTCAAGCTCAAAAATACATTCCTTCTCTGTGTAAATTCCTTACTTCTGTGCACCCTTTGAACTCCAGTAATCTTAAATTGACTGCCCCTTACAGAAGGGCTTGTGAGATGCAGATGTGCCTTGTCACGCTGCACAAATAGCTTTAGGAAGAAGAGACAGTACGCATTTGCTGCTCTTGATGAAACTAGAGCCAAGAGCACTTCCCTCGCAAAGTTAAATCAGTTGATGCAGTCCCAGGCACAGGAGCAGCCAGGGCAGCAGGTGGGGAGCGGCACAAACCCAGCGTGTTCGTCCCTCGGCTCTCGCCAGCTCTGCTGAAGGATTTCACTGCCAGCACTCTTGTCGGATTGGTTACTTCCAAAACAAACAGTGCAGATGTGGAGGTTGCCTTCTTCTCTAGTAGCAGAATAGTGCTTTAATGCTTTTATTTTTAACCCCGAGGGTTTTGGCAGAGCAGCTGAGGTCCAGGGGCTGTATTTGATGGCCTTTCTTTGGAATTGTTTTACTTGATTGTCAGAAAGCCGAGCTGTCTCTTCTTGTTACTTCAGATCAGGCCTTAATCTTCAGTACCTCTTGCTTGCCAGGCAGGTTTTTGTTAAGATCCTAATTTCTTCAGAATATGAACAACTGTAATTTAGTATCCAAATCTGTAAACATTTCTAATCAGATCCTTTAAGAATTGTATTACCAGTTAAATGTACTTATTTCCTCTGGACTTCAAAAAATATTTTTTATTTACTTGGTACATCGAAAACTAATGCCTGTCACTTGGAATTTGTCATGTTTGTGTTAATGAAATTTGCAAAGAACAAACCTTGAGGTTTGGCTGACTTTGAACAGCAGAAAATCATGAAGGAGTGTAAGCTGGGGAGGTTGTGCCTGACCCCGATGTTGTACGAGCAGCCGCAGGGCACGCAGTGGGCCAAGACCTCTTCTCCTGAGGCAGAGCCTTCTAAGAGTTCAGCCTGACCTACTTCCCTCGCTGAGGAAAGGGTAGCCTGCCCTGCAGCTACTTAAATCTTTTTCTGAAAAATGAGTGGGTGGGGACGCCGAACTGACATCGTGCAAAATTTGTCCCAAGGACAAGTCACTTGCAATTTTTTCACTCTGGACTGATATGATCACAGTAAACTGATGACCAGTCAATTTGCAATTGTCCGTTGAAGCTGGAAATGTAGCACACTGAGCGAAGAGGTTGTGGCTTGTAACAGCAGGCTTGGTTTGGGGTTATTTTTGTTTGGGTTTATTGTTGTGCTCTGGGTTTTCTACTCTGGCTTTAAATAGAAGACAGATTCTAACAGCAGTCCTTCCAGGCTTAATGTATATTCATCCAAAACAGTTGACTTGCTGCTGGTTTTGTGTTAGGATTTTCTGTTAAAGTAATGTTCGTGTGGAGGAATAAGTGATGTATTTATTTCACAGATGCATGGTGTGCTTTAGAGGGCAGTGCATTTAGGATGTGACATGCTCATACGTATGCCTTTACATTTTGTGGAAAAGTCAGAGGAATTTGCTTTACGTAGCCTGCTACTGTTTATCACTTATGGGTCACACTTCAAATGCAAGGCCGGAATGATCCAGGAGGTAGCCTGCCAACTTCATCTTTTGGAAAAATACTGTGAAAACTTGTACAGTTTGAAAGTGAAGGGACAGCCTCCAACCCATAATACAGCGGTATCTTGGAAACGTTGGTCAAGCTGGGACAGAAATGCTGGGTTTGATCCAGGACTGCATTGCTGCTTTCCAGGGAGCTGAGTGAGCTGCAAACCCATATACGGTGTTCGTAGCACCGCTGCTGGCTTCTGGAACCTGCTTCGAGAACATTTTTCTGGCCAGACAGAAGCACCCGCAGGCCTGTCGGTGACGTTGGTACGTCTGTAACAGGTCTGTGACTGAGAGTGCTCTGTCCTTCAGGTCTGGGCAGTTGGATTCGCAGGCGAGGGGCCATACCAAGAAGAGGCTTTTAGAGGAGGAGAGTTGGATGAATCACCGGCCTCCCAGCGTGACAGTCCTTCAACTCCTCAGTCGCTCAGAACTTTCATCTGCCCTTGTTTCCCCAGCGAACGCGGCCACACAGCCACCTGGGCTTCACACGCTTCTGAGACTCTAGGTCACGGATGCTCGAGAGGGAATTCCACAGCTGAAGAATTTTTTTTGTTCCTTTTTGTTCCTGAAGCTTATTCTCCTGAAGCCTTCTTGCTGCAAATCACTTATATTTGTATTTAATACTGAAATGGCCTAAACCTATAATATTTTGTAATCATTTTAACAAAATGAAACAGAATAATGATAATACAGGTAAAGCTTTTCATCCAGTATTCCTTGATTTTAGGGTTTTTGCATCAGGAGTACCATGACCACCCTGTAAGTTCTCATTTTATGCAAAAAGCCCATCTTTTGTTATTGTAGAGTTGTAACTCCACCTTATGCAACAGTGAATCTGTTAATGGCACGTAAAGGCCAGTTCTAAATAGGTCATGAGCAATGAAGTCAGTAGGACTAGTGTTTCAAGCGTTTCTTTTCTGGAATGCAGATTGCCGTTGTAGATCTTCCATGTTTTCCAGCAGAACCATCATCTCCACACCTGTTTTGCTCTGAAATCTGGTTGCTTTGTTCACTGGTGTGAAAATTACTTCCGTTGTGCTTTCACTCTATATGTATTCAAGAGATTTTCAAAAATTACTTCTGTGGAGAGCCAAGTGTGCGCATAGCAGTGACCTTGCTGGAACTGTTCTGTGTGGCACTTCAAAAGTTTGGCCACAGCTTTCCCCTGCAGTTGTGTATTCCCTGTCCTGAACAGCAGAATCCTGCATATATGCAAAGAATTTGTGCTTTTAATGCAGCTTGTGCCTTAAGTGCTTAAGTTTGCTCATATTTCGAAAGCACCAACTGGCTTGTGTACGTTGGTACAAGTGACATTGCGGAAGGACTTGTGTAGGTGTGTCAGCCTACGCCGGGGGAAGGCCAGTTTCTAAATAGTGGTGCATGGTTTGTCTGGCCTGTGTTTTGTTTTGTTTTTTTAAATGTGCAGCGCAGTGTGTGTTAGAAAACATTTAATAGTAGACAGGAAAAAAATTAGTGATCTAGGCATGTGTCAGAAGGGTCAGATGATATTTTACTGTGTAATTTTGTGTGTCACGACTGAATGCCGTTCCCCTGAGCCTGGTTTTCAGAGCACTGTGATCTGTTATTACTAAGACGGTGGCAGTGGTCAGGTGAATTACTTTCCAAAAGCAATAAAAGCAAGACGAGAGAACCTCTGATTTTGTATTGTTTGTCAGCTACTTGGCATAGCTGTGAGATGGTGCAGTGCTCCACAGAGTACTATATTTAGCTGTTTCCAAGGAGATGTTCTGTGCGATATTGATAATTGCATTAATCCTTGATTTACACAATCTGCAGGAAAGGAAACTGCTCCTTTTCCTAGTGTTGGCTTTTTAATTGCTCGATGATCTGTAATTTATAGACATTTTCATTTAAGTCCTTTATGTATGCCTGTGTGTTGGGGGCAAAAATCAGTGGTAAACGATCGTTTTTCTACCTTAGAAGTGAACACGGTCATTGCTTCTTGATGTTACTGTCTTACTTTTCTGCTGCTTTGTTTTCCCTTGTGTGAGGTAGGTCTGCATTTGAAAGACTTCCATTGTAAAGAGGTTGAAGAGCTGGCTTGGTGACATCCTGTGTTTTCTGTGTCAAAGGCTAAGAGCATTCATGTCAACTTCACGCTCCTGCCGAGAGTACTGTTAAGATATTCATGGTTGAAAACACAACTCTGCTCAGCATGTGCAATTTTCGCTGTATAACAGAACAATCTTCCTGTCTCTGGGTCTGATGTTTTAGTCACTCTCTGCCTTAGAAATCTTTCAAGGCAGTATTATCCATGGACCTGTTTCTAATGCAGTTGGCTCCACATGCTTTGTACATCTCTGACAGTAATTATGAATTTCTGAGGTGGAATTATTTCAAGCAAAACTTTTGAGGCTTCATGTCTCAAATACATTCCACGGAGCTGACCGGCGCTGACTGAATTCAGTTGAGGAGCAAACAGCGAGCTAAAAACGCAACATATTAGTTTAAACCATGTAATTCACCAGGAGTGTTCCTTCTGCGTACTGCTGTCCATGAACTGGAGCTACTTGATGGCCTTGTTGTTATACTCCAGCGTTTCATGGGTGTGTGTATAAGTGTATCATGTCACAATGACTACAAGCAAGTGATCTCAGTAGTAGTTAAAATTCTTCAGATTAAATTTTATTCTGATTTCCATTCATACTTTATTTGAAACTGCAGCTGACCTACTTGTTCATTTCAGTGAAATAGTTTGAGACATTGTCTTTCCTTTTGTAGAAAAGAAGAAAGGAGAGCACAACACTGAAGGAGAAAGGAAATGAGCAGTTCAAGAAAGGAGGTGGGTTGATAATCTTTCAACACATATGGAGGTTAGAGCATCTTAAATTAATACTTAACCAAAATGGTGATGTTGCAGAAAACCCATAGGAAGATCTCACAGCTATCAGTGTTCAAATTCATCATCTGTATAATTTTTTCATCCAGCTCTAGAGAAAAGAAGGAGCTAGCAGACCTCCTTAAGATTTAAGTTTCGATCACAAAGACTTGGATTACTACAGCAGGATTCTCATGGAAGCTAAGTGTTTAAATCCAAGAACATGATGCAGAACTGTCTGCCTTCAGAGTGCTCCCACTAATCAAAAAGGCTTCCACTAGGCTCTGGGTTTTGCTAATGCTTGTGCGTAGAACTGGTGCAGGACTCAGAGGCTCAGAGTAGCGCTCTCACACCTTTGTACATGTGCACATTTCTTCACATCCCCTGACTCTCCCTGTTACACTTTTTATTTCTGTGTGTCCCTGTATAAACGGACATCTGTGTATGCACACACACACTGCATAATGTACAGTTGTATGTACTTGCATGTACATCTGTATACATACGTACATAGGTGTGTATGTCCAGAGGTACACACGTGTATGTGTATAAAGATGTACATGTACACACACAAAGATATAGTTAAAAAAAATAGATTTAGAGGTGTGTAAATTTCTAGCTTATGCCAGAACTGGACGTGTTCTGACCGTAGTTAATACAACAGGATTGAGGTCGGTAATAAATAGCGGTACCAGTGCTTTTAATTGAAAAACATAAAGGAGGAAGTGATTTTGACATCTACCTTTCATTTAAAGTTCTAGTGGCTAAAGGATTCACAAAGAAACCAGGAAATGCAGGTTCGTGCTTTCCTCGGTCAGCAGGGACACAAACAAGGACGTTCCCCTTCCCAGGAGTATGTCCTGCTAACCAGGCAGCAGCCTTCCTGCTGGAGGTCTCTTGCTGTGTGCTAGGAGAGCAGCGTTCCTGAGCACTGATTTACCAGTTCGGGCAAGCCTCAGAGCGGGCAGAAGGGAACTGCTCGGCCGTGGCAGCAGCAAGCCTGTAGCGCTGGCTGAATCGCCTCGTGCAGTCTCATCCTTGGCCCCTGCTTGGCGAAGCCTGTGGCAGCTTGCCGCCGCGCTCGCGACTCACAGATACGCGAGCTCTGAAGCACCGGGGTGCTCAGCAGCTGGTGAGCACGGCAGGCATGGCCCTGGTGTGAGGACAGGGCACTTGTCAGCTGCCAGAGCATCGGTCGGAGTCTGCGTAGGGCCTTTATTAGAAAATGAATAACTTCATAAGCCCCTGTGGTTTACCACTGGTCCTTGCTTTAGTCTTGACTTGATGAGGGATGACCTTTGGGTGATAATGGGTTTGTGGTGACTGATTTTGGGTCAGATGATGTGAAGATGATGTGGCCAATAACATATCTCTGTTTCAGCGCAGTGAAGTGTTTCAGCACGTGCTTTCTGTCAGAACAAGGTTACAACTAATCTGTAGAGATTCTACCTTTAAGGCTGGTTCTCAGGTAGGATGAAACTGTTTCTGGGGTGAGAAATACAGGCACATCATGTTGCGCTTGTTACATTAAGGTCAGAACTATGTCTCCTTTTACAAGGGTGTTGATTTTCAAATAATTAATTGTCGTTGATCTGTGTACTACTTAGTGATGTACTTCGTCAGAGAGCAGCTACCGATTCTGCTTTAGTATTGCCTCATATATTGTGAAACGTTTTCAAGGAAGTTGTAGCCATGTGGTTCAGTGACTGTACTGGCATTTGAAATAAATGATCTATTTTGGGTTTTTTGCTCTTGTATCTGCAGACTATGGAGAGGCAGAAGACTCTTACACGAAGGCTCTTCAGATTTGTCCAGCCTGCTTCCAAAAAGATAGGGCTGTTTTATTTTCAAACAGAGCTGCTGCAAAAATGAAACAGGTGAATTTTCTTTTTATTTTATGAAACACCGTGTATTGATTATATGCCAAATGCAATAATGAAGTCATTAGGAGCGCATAAAGGAGGGCAGAGGAATAAAGCTGTTGCAGGTTTTGCTGCTTGCTCAACCTGTCAAGCTCCCAGTAGAAATGCTGGTACGCTGCGTTTTGCTGAGGATGAATACAAACCTGAGAGCTGCAATTGGAACTGCTGCTCAAAGTTGCTCTGCTGCATTGTATTTAAATTCTGATTTTTCTGCCATTCTCTCTAGTTTAATGAAATTCAAAGGTCAGGGGGAACAGATGTCTTTCAGCATGCTCAGTGTATGCAGACCGTGCGTTAGATTGTTTAGAATTCTAGCCAGTTAGTGGTTTTTTTTTCTAGAAGTCTGCATTGCCATATACTTGTCTTCATTTAATTGGCTCAAATGCTCTGAGGCAAAAGCAGGACTTCCTACCTATGGCTTTGTTAATTCAGTTAGCCTGCTTCCTTTGCAGTTGCCGTGCAGTAGGACAGACCTGTCTAGCAGGACACAGTCTGGGTGGAGTGGCTGCAGCTTTCCTCATCAGTTTTCTGTTCCTTGGCCAAGGGCAAGTACCCAGCTGTTACTAGAATCAGCAATACACTTAGGTAGTATGGAAGGCATAGAACACAATCTGTCTGAACAGCAGCTTTCACTTCTTTAGAAAGAGGAGATACTAAGAATTCAGAAATTATTCCCTATTTTTGCACTTTTTTAAGATTAATTTAATGTAGAAACAGAGCACAGTAGCTCCTATCCTCAGTTTACCCTCCTGCAAAGGGAATGTCCTTGCAGTTTTCCTACAGAACTGAGACAGCTGTAGGTCTGTTTAGAAACGTACCTTGCAGCCATATTTAGGCATAAATAAATGAATTCTTACTCATGCAGAGTGTTCTTGTTTGGCTAGAACTATATAACTTGCTGTTGGGATACTGAATTGTTTGAGCAAACAAGGAAACAATTGAATAAAAATTGTAATAACAGATGCTGGAACCTTTCAAATATGAAAGCTCTACACTGAAAAACTTCCTTATAATCCAGATATTAACTGTTCATATCACTGGGAAACCAACCTAGTAGCCTCCAAAAAAGCCCAAGATGATAAAAGACCTGAGCACAAACTAGTGTATCTCACCAGTATAGATCAGTGGAACCTGACAGACCAATACATAACTCTGAAAATAGATTCAGATTTTTGATAACTTCCCCACTGAGTTTGATCTTCCATACCTGCTGTACCCATTTGCTTTGCGCTGCAGTAAAAGCTTGTGAGGCATTCTTTTCTGAGATGGCTTCTGTTTTACGGAGGAGAAAATAGTTCCTTGGATGTAGAAAGATTACTACTACTTAGGTGAACAATACAATCATAGAAGATTTTTTAAATTAATTTTGATTTTTTTTATTTTTATTTAAGCCCTTTTAGTTTGGGTGAAAACAGGATCTTTGTCTCAGCTCCTTTGCCTTTTTTTCTTGTTTCCTTACAAGCAGATTGCCTGGCTCTCCTCTTGTAACTAGGGTTGTGTGGGTGCACCGAAATCTTGTCCCTACCGCTTCCGGAAGTCTCACGTGTCGTCCCTTGTAGAGAAAGCTGCGTTAGTGCTAAAGGCAGTACGTGCTTTCAAATGTCTGAGCTTGTACAGACTAGAATTTCTCTGGGACTCTTTGGAATCCTCTGTTCCAACCCCTCCATTGACTGACAAAGGTGCAGAAGCTGCCCTCTGAGCGCGGCGTGCTGCTGGCCCAGAGCGAGGGTGGGCGCGGCCGCGGGGTTTGGGCGCTGGCAGCCTTCCCCAGGAGGAAGCTGATCACCGGCAAAGAGCTTCGCATCAGAACCAAGGGTGTGAAAAGCCTTGATTACATGAACGTCCCGGGTCCTCGGAACGCCCGACAGACCTTTTTGCTTGTGGCTCTAAATAATCTGTTCCACAAGAAATACGACTTAAACCTAACAAAACTGTTTTGTGTTCTAGGACAAGACGGAAGCTGCCCTAAGTGACTGCAGCAAAGGTATGGTGCTTTTTTTGCCCTGTGTGCTGCTCTTGTGCCAGAGCTTTCATGCATCACTTGTGCCGTTTAGTGCCTTCTTGCAGAACCGTAATTTCAGGCATAAGGGTCTTAAAAGAATTTCGAGAAAAGCTTGATGGAAAACACCTGAATGTAAAATTATTTATGTTACTTATTTTGTAAAATATCTGTCAAACTTTTCCTGTCTGTAATAATTTAGTTTCTATTCTCTTGTGCCAAGAAGGCTGCTGTTTGTGCTTCTTCTTAATAGGAAAGTCGTTTTATTATGGAAGCTGTTTCTTTACACCTACTATTTTAAACTCACTTCCACCTGCTATTCCCCCTCAAATCTTGGTTTAATCACAGATTCCAAAGAACTGAGGCCTTTTGGAATTAAAAGCATTAACAAGTCCCTTTTATGCAGGGTTTTTGCTTTGTCACATGGGCTTATGCTCGCTCGCTCTTGCCCTGCATAGTTCTCTCTCTGCAACTTGTAGTGAAATCGCTTCAGCTGTGCGTTGCTTTATTGCTTCCACCCACTCACCCAGGCTCAAATATTTGTTCAGCTCCCCATGACAGCTGGGGAAAAAAGTCCAAATTACCAGTCAGAAAACTAACGCAATGGCTTTGTGCCAGTACTGCTTGTACAGTAAATATGAGTTTGTACACGCTAAGAGTATTCTTGAGGGTAACAAATTCTCGCTGGCCTCTGTCGCTTTGGGGGGTCGCCTTGTTTTGGTGGTTGTGCATTCTGCAAAATACTTCTGCTAATTCTGTCGTGGCTGAAAGGGAATCAGTCTGCTCTGCAGCAGCAAGACTTAAACCTACCAGCGCCTGACGCTCCCGGGGGACTTGGCTTACAAACTGCAATGCAACACTTGAGGCACAGCAGAGCAGTGCACTGTAACCTGCAACGTGCTGACTGTAGCATTGTCTTTGTCCTTTCAGGAGAAATAAGGTGGCCTGTTTAGCTAGATAATCCTACATTTGATTGTCCCGAGAACATTTTAATGGGTTAGTAATTGTAAAATGGGCAGTCTTTTCATACCCATAGTCTTCCATTCCTTCTTTCTGTGATGAAAAATGGATGAAAAAATTCTTGAGAAATTACTGTTTGCAGGTTGTGGTTGAGCGTTCAGTCTTAGCCGCAGCTCTGGACACAGGCAAGGCTGCCAAGGGAATAAGCAGAGGAGAGCCTTAAATTCAGTCAGTATGCCCTGCTGCTGGCTTGCGCAGCTAATGTAACCATTTCTGGATCCCCAAGCCAGTTTTGACTTCTTGATATTAAATTCAGAATGGCAGTAGCTCTCCTGGAGTTTGTCTCAACTTGAACTAAGCAGGGAATTTCTTATTTTCCCTGCTGTGTATATCTTCAGGTATATGTGATTTTAGCTGTGATCTAATAACAGTCACTCAGTAAATATGCAAAAGCTGAAAAGTATCTTACAGGTCCCTAAAATTTCTGAAGTGTCACTTAGAATCTCTACGTAGACAATATTGCAAAATTAAATGCCTGTGCATTATAAATCACTTCTATCTGTGGTAGATTGTACACAATAAATGAAATATAATTTGTGGTGGATTTTCCAGCCAGATGTTACGCATTTTCTGAATTATGTCTTACCCTTTAAACTGTGACTTTGCTCAGTCCTAAGCTACATTATAAAGATAAGTGTTAAGAATTTAATGCACACTTAAGAATTCATTTGAGGGGTATAGAAATGTTTTAAGTAAAATACTGTGCTTTGGGCTCTGTTTCTAGCAGTGGAATTAGATCCTAACTACATTAGAGCTTTGCTGAGGAGAGCAGAACTATATGAAAAAACAGAAAAACTAGATGAAGCTCTGGAAGACTATAAGGCAGTCCTAGAAAAAGACCCATCGGTTCACCAAGCCAGAGAAGCTTGCATGGTAAGCCTTTTTAGTGTACTTTAAACCAATGTCTTTTCTTTCTTATTCTAAATATTCAGTGCTGTTTATGCAAGCAGCTTCATGTGCGGTTTTTTTTTCCCTGTCTGAAACTGTGGTGGTTTTCTCATCTGGTTTTAGGTAAGGCAAATTACGAGAAGTGCCACAACTTCTCTGACGTGGCTCAGGTCCATACAGCAGAGTCCTTTTTTTACCTTTGTAAAATGAGTGAATGTGTGTTCTGAGCTGTGTGTAATTCCATGTTCAATAGCACACACACTTCATTCTAGTTTTTCTGATTGGAGCTCTTACTCGTACTTATGCGTGTGCCAGAAGAGGTTGCCGGAACCACCGCTGCATTTTCGTAGCCGTCGCTTCAGTGCAGGTCTGCACTTTGGAGATCAGCACGCGAGCGCCCTGTAGTACAGTCGCTGGTTAGGGGCAGGCTGGTTTCCTTTCAGTAGAATTCTTTTTCCAATTGGTAAATTTGCAGCCAAATGCCTTTGTGGCATAATTATAAAATAGGGATGTTTTAGTTACTTGATTATGTAGTTTTGAGAATGGCAAAGAGACAGGATTTCATCACTGTGTCTATGTTTGTATCTACTTTAAAATGTTGATATTTTTGTTTCTTGATTTAGCTGTTTTCTGTTCTTCTTCGTTGCTGTCCCTTGAGTGTGTATTGGCCACTTTGAGGTATTTTTACTGATAGTGACTGAAGTCTGCTATTAATCTTCAAAAACCTAGTCTTTCACTTGAAGAAAAAGGCACCTTCTGGTTGCAAATAACACTGATTCCTGATTCAATCGCTTTCCTCCTTGTAAAAATAAAAATAAAAATTCTGCAGCTTAGTACTGTGTTCCAGTGTCCACTTTCACCACTTTCAGTCAAATTGCAAATACTTCAGGATTAAACATTTCTTGTAGCATCTTTGCCATATCTCTGTAAGAGTAAGGAATTGCTTTAAAAGCTTTCTTGGCCTTTAGGATGTGTCAGCTTGGATGAAAAAGGAAAACCCCTAGCACTTCCTGAAACCCCAGTCTAACATGTAAATAATCCCTACTCAGTGAGGATTTAAAGTCACTGCCACAGCCTGCTGATCGGAGGTTTTAAGTAACCCTTTGTGTAAAATACCAGCAGGAAGTGATTTGTCTAGTATGTTAATGCTCAGTGAGGGAAATAGCTGTGGATCTGACAGGTTCAGAGGGTCTTTTCACAAGGGTAGCAAGAAGGGAAATTTATTTGGTGCAGAAAGCTGCTCTTACAGGCTGCTTGCTGTTCTTATTTTTGAGAAGATGTTATGTAGGCTATGTTGAAAGGACAGACGTGGTAGAGATGTAGGCAGCCAGCTGGTGGTTTTGAAGGAACATGTGCTAATGAAAGGTAACCACTAGAAAAAGTCTGGTGGTGGTCACTTTTTGTCAGAGTGGGAGTTTCAGGTCGTGGCAGGAACTGACCATCTTCTGCAGGGAAAACAGCCAAACTATTCTGTACTTCCATTTTAAGGGAAATGGTTGCCATTCTAAAACGTAATTCTTAGTTGGGCACTCAAATCCGTATGGTAACACTTGACTTTATTTATATCTGGTTAGATTTTCAAAGGGCGTCATTATTTTAGTTCAGTGAACGTGCAACATATTCTGCCCTGTAAAGGAAAAAAAGTCATTTGCTTCATCTGCAAAACTATCTGTAAGGCCATTTTGAATATGTCAGTGCAGAAACATTTTCAAAAGGCTTAGATTTAATAGTTCTAACCCTCCATTTGGGAAAATAAATCATTAGGAGTGATTTCCCCTTCCCCCCCTCCCCCATACTGTGGTGTTGCGAGTGGCAGGTTAGAAACTGCTTTTAGAGCGTATTAGACAAGAAGCCCTGCCTGAAATCGCCTCCTCTGGGACTGGATCAGTTGCACTGATGGCAGGAAAATATTCTGCCCAACTGTGTAACTCCTGTTAGTGGCAAGGGCACCGTTTCACCAGCAGCTGAGGTGCTGCTTGCTGCTGCTTGGAGCTGCCTGGTGGCTCTCCCAGTGCCAGCACTGGTGCCAGCTCCCCTCCAGCCCTGGGGGTGGCTGGATCTGTCCATCAGGCTGGCAGGTAACTCACTCTGCTCTGGGGAGGAAGAGCAACAAGCAAGGAGTAAAAAAAAAAGCCAGCAACTAAAAAGCTTTGAAATAAATACTCTGCTGCTGCCTTGGCTCTCTGCAGTCAGACGGGTCCTGCTGCAAACGCTGGCGAGAAGGACAGAAGAGGTGGTCAGGGCAGAGCAGCAGCCGGGGGGCGTCGCCCTCTCTGCGCAGCAGCCCCCGGTGCTGGCTGAGAGCAGGAGGCACCTTGTCCCCTGGCCATGGCTTTGGGACCAACGCGCTTGTCACACGTGAGCACTGTGTGCGCAGTGGAGTGACGGGGCCATCGCCGGCCGAAAACGAGTGTTTGTGCTGGTCTGGTTTGTAGTCTCCTGTCTGAGACTTGGGCTTGGTGGATCCAGGAATTCAGCCAAAGAGTCTGCTGACATTTCTGAAGGGAACAGCAGGATTCCTTTCTGGAGCTTGTAGCCTTTCAGCGTTAGACTCACTCCAGAGCGAGGCGTGGGGTAATCCAACAAGGTACTTGGTAAAGCAGCACCCGAGGCGTGGGCTTCAGCAGCTCCTCCTGCTGAGAACAACCGTGAAGATCATGAACCACCAGGCAGGACTCCACAGATTGAGACTTGGGAATGCTGTCACTAGTTGGTACAAAATGTACGGAGTTTATAATGCATATATTTTGGCTAATTGGAACCCCCTCAATATATAGATACTGTGCTTTTATATCTCTTGCAAAACCGCTGGGTTTTTTCCACCGAGTATGCCTCTAATCAAAAAGAGCCCTTGCTCAGTAACCAGTGGAGATTTGGGCTAGAAGAGAATCACAAACAGTGCTGTTGTTCTGCCTGGCCATCTTTCAGGAATGTTTTAGAACAAGCAGCAATTTATTCTCAATTTTTGTAGCTGTGAAGTACAGAGGTTGACTGTTACATGTACCTTCTGCTCCTTGACCTCATTTCACTAGGCAGAGGCTTTAGGCTCACATGTGGTGCAGAACACTTTGTACAAAATGCCCTCGATTTACACTGCAGTGGGATTTAGGACATTCTGCCCCGAGTTTGTCCTGTTCTTTGTCAATTTTCAGAGTAGAAGCAATCTTTTGAGACTGAAGCATAAAATTCTTCTCTCGAAAAATTGTTAAGGAAATACTGACAGCTAGGTTTACACTTCTTAAAATATTAAATTTCTAAATTTCATAATAAAAAACCAATTCCAGCTGTAATGTTGTCTCCACCTATGTGGTTAACATATCTAATATGTAGGAAACTAAGAAGCTGTGCTTCATTTTAAGGTAAATTGCATTGCTCTTTGCAGAGATTTCAGGGCGTTTTTTCCCCCTAACGGGCAATGAAAATGCTGCACCAAGAGAATCTGCAAATTAGTTTTGTTTAGTGTTAGAGCAAATCTTTCTCCATCCTATTAAAAGGAAGTATTTCAGAGACTGCTTAAGGAAATGTCATGATGTTGTTAAATGACAGTTTATTAAATACACGGTAGTTCCTCACTTTGATTCTTGGTTTGATAGCTGCTCTAAAATTCCAGTAATCCCTATTGAAGTTTTTCCAGAAAGTGTTTAATGATGTGGTATCAATCTTCAGGTTTTGTTTTTAGGCGGTGTGTAATCTAAAAATTTTATGCGAACCCAACTTGTGTCCCGTGAATTTTGGCTTCAGCACAGCTTTTGAGGGATTGGCAGGCCAGATAAACACGTTCACCACCAGCAGCTGTACTTCGATAGAAGTATCGCGGACGGCAGACAGCCAGCCGCGCTCACGGACACCTGTCTGTAGAGAACTAACCTCGCAGTTACGGTTCTGGAGCGAGAAGGGCAGAGCCTTTGGAACTGCAGTGTTCAGGCAGACAGAGCACGGCGTGTGTGTCTCAGATCGAGGGTCTGTGTCTTCCTGTCCTGCTAAAGCCTGATGCCCGAGCAGGAGGGACACACACTGTATGTGTCAAACCTGTCCAAGATTCAGCGAATCTCACAGCCCTTGGTGCAAACTGAATTTAGAGCCTGGGGTTATCCCCCCAGGTGTGCGTGCAGGCAGCTCGTTCCCAGATGCACACCCAACTAAGAAGCCCCTCTGGGTGAGCAGGAGTCAGGTGAGGTCTGACTGAGCTTGTTAGGTCGGGCTCACTGGGGCTGATGCTGGGCCTGGCCTGGTTTCAAGCTTAGCCATCCATGGGTGTCTGCGTTCTGGTCCTTAGTACCTGGGATTCCATCTGTTTGGGTTTTTTGGTGTGCTTTATTTCTGGGTTATAGCACTTCTCTTCCCCATCGCTATCTGAAGGGAACCTACAGGGAGGCTGGGGAGGGACGTTTATGAGAGTGTCCAGCGACAGGACAAGGGGAAATGGATTTAAGTTAAAGGAGAACAGGTCTAGATTGGCTCTTAGGCAGAAACTGTTGAGTGCGAGGGTGGCCAGAGTCTGGCACAGATTGCCCAGAGAGGCTGTGGCTGCCCCCTCCCTGGAGGTGCTCAAGGCCAGGTTGGATGAGCCTGGAGCAGCCTGGGCTGGTTGAGAGGCGTCCCTGCCCATGGCAGGGCTTGGGTTGGATGAGCTCTAGGGGCCCTTCCAACCCAGGCCGTTCTGTGACTGTCGAGAATGAGCTGCGTTTGCCTGGGTGTCCTGCTCGGGGGAGGAGCAGCCCAGCAGCCGGGTCCATGGGCTTTCCCTGGAGGTGAACGTCTTATTTCACTGCGGCTGCGGTGTCAGGATGACAAACCTAGCCATGATGAGCGGAGCTGTAAGTGACAGGAAGGAAGAAAATTAAGAAATGAATTCTTTAACTATGTTGAGGAGCCAATTATCACAAGGGAAGTGGATCCACACCTGTTACTGTAGGCTGCCACTGTAATTAATTTACTGAGAGCACCATTACAGCAGATCTGTCTTATTTGCTATGGCCTGCACGAGAAGAGACACACAGTTAGGCATATAATTGCATGCTGAACTGCCAGAATTATACAGTGATAACTGTAGTATAAAAGCTTGAGATAGTACATCTAAAAATTATGGAAAAATATGCCTAAAAAGCGACTGCCTCTCGTAATATGTTTTGGTTTAATATTGTATTTAACTGAAGCATAGAAAATGCAAAATTTAAATGATATAATAGTGAACTTAGGTGCGGTGCATATGAAGTTCTAATTAAAAATGACCATTACAGTCACATAGCAGAACACCAGTAGTGTGTAAGGACAGAGGGTGTCACAGCTGTTCCAGGCAAAAATGGGAACTGCGGAGACCACGCCGTTACGTCATGGTAATGCTCCCGGAAACGTGGCAGGTTTGAGGTGGCACGACAGCTTTTGACACTGGTGCCAGTTCTGAGAGGGGGAAACAAGCACGTTAGCGACCTGTGACTGGGAGCAGTACCTGGCTCGGGGAGAACTCCTGGAGCTCCCTCCCTGTGAGGAACTGCCAAACCCAGGCCCTCGGTGACAAACCCTCTCCTCCTTAGAACTTACGTTGCATAATAAGGTGCATTTCATTAAACTGTGTCCTGAAGTTCATAGACACTTACTTCAGTGCTCTTCTGGTAAAGTATTTGTGTTTAGAAGATCTTCATGTTTTCCCAGTGTGGATTTCCCTAGAACTGACTTTGTGGATATTTTCCTCATTGCACCTCTGTGTTTATGTTCAGAAGTCAAATGCTGTGCGTGCTTAATTCCTCTACCCTCTCTTACCAGTTTAATGCATGCAGCAGAGGAAACAGGGCTAAAATATATTTTAAATCTCTTAAATTCCATAAGCTTTTCAGTTAAAATTCCAAGCAAACAGATCCGATCTGTTTTCCAGCACTGAAAATCTATGCCCATATGAAACCTGCACTTCGAAGTTACGACTTATTGTTTATGTGAACCGATGTCATAGGATGAATTGCAGGTTCCCAAAATAAGATGAAAGTGTGGTTTGACGTAAGGATTCCTTTTAAGCTATAAATGTTGTATCCTGGGTATGAAAATTCCATTAGCTTAACCTACAGTATTATTGAAAGGGTGGGTCTGATGCCAATTTCTCTCTCTCTCCACAGCGATTGCCTAGACAAATTGAAGAGCGGAATGAAAAATTAAAGAAAGAAATGTTAGGTAAGTAGGATGTACATATAAGTTCAACAATAATAGTATTCATAATCTACTAAAAAATAAAAATGCGGCGTCTCTTGTATAAAGTTGAAAGAAGCTAAATCTTGAAGGAAATAACTTGTTCTATGTTAAACAAAGCTGACAATTTCTTCATAGTTCTCTGTTGCTCGGTTTCACCCACAGTAAGTTGTAGCCGAATGATTCTTCCACACAGAAAAGGCTGTTAGTTAAATTTAGAGGAAGAATACTCATGAAACAGTTGAATATCGATGCATGTAAAAGCAGGCGAAAAGAGTTTGGAACAGGCCAACTGCTCTGCCTGTTCTCTCTGCAAGTAAACCTTCAACGGAAACATTCCCATGAAAGGGATAAAACAGAGTTTTCACTAAACCTTTACATAAAAGAAGTCAGCCAGCTGTAATAACTGAGCGTGTTTCATCTTGTGTCTGAAGAAATAAATTCGGTTCTTTTTGTAGCACTTCCAGCCTACAGACCTCCAAGTCTTCATGTTTACCTCAATTTATATAGTTTTTCAGTTCCATTTGCTTGGAGGCTGAATTAGACCTGCCTCGTGCTACAGACAGACATCTGGCCTTGCTGGGAGGGGAATTAGATTTCCTTACTGCATAGCTTACTGTCTCTTGACTTCTTACAGTTCTCTACCGAAGGATATTATTGACTCTATTTGCTTGTAGAAAAGAGAATTTCATTAATGTAACTCGCGTGGATGCGTGTGCCTCCATCACTGTGTTGTGTGGCATTGCTTGGGGAATACCTGAACGGGATGGGTGTATTTCAGGAGGATAACTACTGAAATAAGGCTGCCCAAGCAAGATTGGTTTCCATGGGTAATATTAATTATAAGGCCCTTCCCTGCACCACTGGCAGTGTTCGGTTAAACTAATGGTTTGGGCAAACACCTCCTGCCCAAAGACAGAGTGCTGCAGCGTTGTCTGCTCTCTCCTGGCTAACAGGGTTTGTTAATTCTTACAGATTCAGACACTGCATAAGCCAGTCTGACTCTCTGGTGCTTTTTAAAATGAGTTTTTATTTTTGGTCATCTTCTCATTTGCACTGTGTAGAAAATCTGCACAAAAGAGCAAGCACAAGTGACAGCAGAGGAGAAACTAGCTGTACCTGCTGACCTATTTCAGAAATAGCTTTCAATAGTGATCCGTTTACTCCTTCGAGGTGTGACAAGCAGTAGACAAAATGCTATTTTTAGATGAGTTAGGCTTTGAGGGTTTGGCATGGGAAAGGGGAAGACGGTGTTTTGCTGTTCTGCAGAGAATCCAGTTTAACAAGCTCCGTCTGCCTTGCATACAGCACCACTAATTCTTAAAATATTTGGGAAGAAGAGGTGGTTTCAAGGGCTTATGCTGAAGCTGGTATTTTTGTTTATTTTTTTTCTTGCTGTGCAGAGAGTCTGACTTGTTCTTGCTTTGTACCTGTTTTGACCCAGTAAAGTTACAGTGAGGCTTTCTAGAGCTTTACGTCGTCACATTCTGTTTCCAATGTTGTACTTAGCATAAGCTATAAATAAGGAAGGTTAAGTGAGATAGTACTATAAATAGACGAATGCAGAGAGTATCCAGAAGGATCATGCCCATTTGTAGGACCTAGGCTGGGTTTCAGCACAAAGCAACAGGAAAACAATTCCAGATCTTTTTTGAACTCTCCCTTTGTTACCATCGTTCCCAAAGTCTAAAAGGCCCCACTAATCAGAAGGGACTACGCTGAAACCCAGTAGACCCAGCTTGTAAACCGTTGTTACAAACCTAGTTTTGTACTGCTCGTCCTTGCCTAGATTTCAGGCTGAATGTGATGTTTAAAAAGTGTTATTCCTGTGGCAGTAAGGGGTTTGGAGCTGGTCTTTTGGGAGCTGGTTCAGGCTGTTGGTACTGGGATTGTCGCTAAAGGGATCCCTTTTCAGTGATGTTACGTGCATGCAAGGTGGCCACTGATGGTTTCTGATGGAAACAGCCAGGAAAACCAGTCTAAAAGTGGGGTAGCACAGCGTGCTGCGTTCATCTGCAGCCTCTCCTGTGCATCATCACACAGGTGATATTTTATCCTTAGCCCTGCTTGTCATCGCTCGTGTCACACCAACGGAGGAGTTTTGCTGTAATGCGTTCTCTTCATAGAACACTTGAAATCGAGTGAGGATTATGGGCAGTACCCAGGCTAGTGTTTTCAAGTGTTAATCAAATTCCCTCTGTCTTTGTGGTTAAGAGAGAGAGCGGTGATGTCATGGATCTAGTAAGGGAGGCCTGGGAAGGAAATACTTCCCAGGGTTTACAAAATGCTGCTGTTCTCTCTGAGGTCAAGTCAAAACCCTTACAGCTGAAGAAGGGGGATTGGATGAGAGTTCTGGAAGGAGTGAAGGAAGACAAACTTGTGGTAGTTCAGAGGTTTTGTCAGATCGTTTTCATTGTACAATGTTTTAAGCTGTTTCAGCTTTTCCTTTTCAAGAACTTTGTTAATGCTACTTACCAACTGAGTAGCGTATCCCAATAGTCAGCTCCTTGTGGCAATCCGTTAGGAGGTGATCTGACTGCGGGTTAAACAGTCCCAGGTATGCGAGGATTTCTTCTTGCCTTCTCAGAGGGCACTTGGCTCAGGTGTCTGAACTGCACCCTGGATTTTTTGATTCCAGGAGAGCAAGTCAGCTGCATCCTAATGGTTCCAGGCTAGGCCTGGCCGAGGAGCACTGATGCTCATCTTAAATTAATCACCAACAAAATCTTTAGAAAGGATGTCACAGTTCATGCTTTGGCTCCTTTAAAGTTTAGATGTTGAATTGAAGTCGTATTTCAGTTAAGGAATCAGCCCGTAACGTCGTTTTGCTAGGCTTTCGTTCTTTCAGCTAAAGCCAAGTCCTGCTCTGCCCAACTTAACACACACTGTCCTAGGACCAGGAGCTGTGTGGAAACAAACCAGAACACCTGGCGTGCATCTTCCTCCTCTCCTGAGCGCGTTTCCTGTTTTCCAGTGCTACAGCTCATTACCACATGGTTTGGCGGAAGCCGAAACCACTTGTTAAGTGATGCCATGTAAACAAATCAGAGTACACATTCTTGGCTGAGTTTTTGTTCCAGACTACCTAACTATGAATTCTTGTGTACAAGTGGTGGTGTGTGTGATGTCACTAGAAAAAGCACATGTTGTTGCTAAACCAAGTCCCTTTCTGTGATGTGTTCTGTAACTTTTTTAAGCTGATGTTTCTATTTAAATGATTTTCACATTTTTTTGTTCAGCCTTTGCAAGTTAGTGCTACTGCTTGTCCCTGAAGCTTGCTCACTACGAGTTAACCTCTGAGTTTCACTTTAAAGAAAGTTTAACTAATAGCACACCTTTAAAGGAGCTTTTAAATCCATGTGGCTCTTTCCCTTTACACTGTCTCAACGTGAGTGTCCTCTGCCTTAGTAACTGCCCAGCACATGAACATGTACTGACCATTTTCTGCGTTCTTTTTTATTTCTCTTCTAACTCGAACGCCAACAAATTCCAGCTGTTGTGCAACAAGCTAGTCTTGTTTAGAGAAACTGTAATTATTGTGATAACGAGAACCGGCTCCTTTGGGGAGAGGGTGTGAGAAGAGGGGAAGTTTGGAATAGTTTTAGCAAGGTTTAGGGCTGTGACAACGATGCAGCTACCTGCGTGCCTACAGGGTAGCTAAGTATATTGGATATAACAAAAAATGGGAGGGAACATACACCAGTCTGTGTAACCCATCTTGCACACAAAGATTTCATCAAATCTGATTAAAAACTACTGAGACTTTCAGCTGAAGTTGTAAATGAGTGCAAGGTACTTGATTATTGACATTTTTCCAGCCACCTGACCTCAGCAAAGGTATTTAATAGTACCTAAAGAATTAGGGGGTTTTGATATCGAAGAGCAACTACGCTGCTAAACCTCAATACTGTGTATAGGGAGGTCGCTTTAAATAGTTCAAATTAGAGCTGATACACAGTTGCTTTTAGTTCAGTCCTCCCTTACCATTTAGGGAAGGGAAAGGGATTTGCCCTTGCTCTTGCTTAAGACACCTTGTTGGCAATACAGAAAGCCACAAAAAGGTGAGACCTCATCAGGAAATTTGTCTTTCATCCAAAAAAAAATCTTAACAGAAACCATACCGAGCATTTCAGTTTCCAAACACCACATTAACACTAGCAGCTATACTAGAATTATTACCAGAAAGACTGAATAGCAATTAATTTTGGCTCTTACATCTTAATGTAAATCGTGAGAAACCTGTTCCTGTGTCTGCCTTTTGCTCCAGGATGTTACGTTGCAGTTCAGGTGAGCAATGGATCACACACTGCTGAGCCCTAAGCTGATTTTTGCCAGTCAGTTTTCTTCTTAACCTCTGAATATTGCTTTGCTGTAGCAAGTAAATGGGCTGAGGTTCCAGGTGAAAAGTAAACGTGGGCTCTCTAAAATACAAAGAACGTGATCTGTGAAAATGCAGCCTCGGAGAGAAGAACGTGACCCTGTGCCAGGACAAGTGAGTGTTTGCCTGCTGAGAACTGCCTGCAGCTGGGTCACAGCTCCACATGCCTTTTGCCTTCCTTCAGCACAGCCTCTGTTTTAAGAGAGCTTTTCTTCGCGGGGGCGGGGGAGGTTGGACTTAACTACAGATCTTAATTTAGGGATGAAAGGACAGTGGGGGAGGAGGAAATAGAGCTTTCCTACAATGCTGGCTTGATGTGCGCCAAGCCAAGCCAGCAGCAGCAGTGCTTTTGGCTCGAGTTCCCGGAAGAGGCAAGGCTTTCTTCTCTCTCGTTAACAATTTATTGAACGGGGCTGCAGCAAAAGGCATTGCTGTGTATGGCCTTAAGTGACAGAACAGGAAGGTGACTGAATTGTCTTATTTGTTCAGTCCCAGTGAGATGAAGAATAAAGTATTAAATACATCACCATATAGTCTGTAGCTTCTCCCAGAGAGCTGGCCTAGCTACAGGCAAGAATACCACGGCAGTTGTTCTGTGCTTGTTGGTTCTGGCGTGACCGGAAGAGAGCCATCACACTAACTCCAGTTAGAAGAGACCTTTCACAGTTTCCTGAAACAGGCAAACTCGTCTGCCTGCTCCCGAGCCAGCTGCAGTGCCTGTGTAACTTGGGAGCTGTTTACAACCCACTCCAGCAGTGCCAGACCCTGCCAGGATTCTCCCCCCAGGAGACAAAGACCCTTCTCACCCCGTACCTGCAGCCCAGCAGCAACCAAACGTTTGCCTGGAGGTACAATAGCAGCTATTCAGCCCAGTCACAAAAATGCTACCAACAACTGTATAGTTTTATAACCAAAGTGCTTTTAGGATGCAGTATAAAGTGACAAACTTAATAGTTAACTTGGCTTAAACAGGGTGTAGCTTAAAAAAAAATCCCCACCAGTACAAAGAAGCTAATCCTAGCTGAGCCACTCACTGGAATGGCTTTGCCAGATCCCTCCACCACCTCCTTTGTTAATCCACACAGAAAAATGGGAGAAAAGTTCTGTCTCGCCATCTACCTGCTTTTGTAGGGTGACGTTGTATTTTTCCCTGTGTAAAGCCCCAGAATTTCCATGTTGACTCCCAAGGACCAATGTTGCTTTAAAATAATGACACAAATCTCTGAAAGATACTCAGTCGTGAACCAGCGCTTCGGTGCAAGATCTCAGTTCCTTCGGTGTGTTTCACAGTAGCACAGGAGTGCTGGGAGTCTCTGCATGCAGGACCGAGTTGGTCCTTCGAACAAAGCGTTTGTACTCAGCTCTTGTTTCTTTGGCATTTTCTGTCGGTGTGCTCAAAAAAGCCCCAATTCAGGTTTGGAAAATAGTGTATTTTGGTTTATGCTGCTGGTGTTTAACCTGCTTGAACCTTTGCCAGACGGTAAGAGCTCAGGGACAGCTTTGGTGGGGTGAGCTCTGCTTTGCTCCCATTTTGGGCGTGAGCGCGGCCGGGGGCCTGCGGTGCCACGCTGGGCAAGTCTCTTCATCTTTTTGCACTCTGTGCGTGCAACATAAATTCTGCCTGTCTCTTTCTGTAAAGAGCTTAGATAGGACCTTGTTCCTTGTGTTTCTGTACTTCTTTATCGCTGCCGTGAAGTTACTGCAGCAAAGCCCAAATTAAATTCTGGCTGGTGCTCTGCAGTGGGGAAAGTTACTCAACAGCAGCAACAATGGTTGCACTGCAGGGCAGGAACGGGGGGCTCAGACAAAGAAAAGAACTTGGGATAAGCCAAGAAACTAAGTGATAAGCTCGTATGGCTTTGCAGTTAGATTCTAATACGGGAGTTTAGAAGTAGAAATAAAGGTGAAGGTGACAGGAATAACGGGTATTTCTTAGGAGTGGAGGCGGGTTGCTGAGAGCTCACAGGTGCCGGTAGGGCTGGGTGTGGCAGCTGCACCTTTTGGTCCGATGATGGTGACTCCTTCAGCCGCTCGGCGGGATGCGCGGTGTGCATCCTGCTCCCAACCGTGTGCACGCACCAAACTCCCAGCGAAACCAAATCCGTTACCTTAAGGAACAGCAAAAGTAGTCAGGCCTTTTGAAAGTGGTGTGTAGCCTGCGCATGCAGACCTAGGGCAGGCTTCAGCTGATCCAAACTTCCCCCATTTCTTCTTTGGGAAATCAGTCTGCAGTTCGGCATTGAAGCCAGGAGAAAAACAGTATTTTTCTTGGAAAACAGACTGTCTTCCTCCTTTATTTTGTCATGCCAGGGGCTTGTTCATAGCCAATGCTGTAGTTGTTGCTTCTGCTTCTTGTTTAATTTAAAGCACTTTATGTATTCTGTCATCTCTGTATAGATACAATATTTTAAAAAGGATATCCTTTTGTTGCCCTTCCCCTGTAGGTGGTAGCAAGATTTATTTTCTAGAGACGTACGGAAAGCATGTGGGATAAATCACAGAATCCTATAATGTCTTAGGCTGGAAGGGCCCTAGAGCTCATCCAACCCAAGCCCTGCCATGGGCAGGGACACCTCTCAACCAGCCCAGGCTGCTCCAGGCTCATCCAACCTGGCCTTGGACATCTCCAGGGAGGGGGCAGCCACAGCCTCTCTGGGCAATCTGTGCCAGACTCTGGCCACCCTCACACTCAACAATTTCTGCCTAAGAGCCAATCTAGACCTGTTCTCCTTTAACTTAAATCCATTTCCCCTTGTCCTGTCGCTGGACACTCTTGTCCAAAGTCCCTCCCCAGCCTCCCTGTAGGTCCCTTCAGGCACTGCAGGCAGGGATAAGGTCCCCCCGGAGTCTGCTCTTCTCCAGCTGAACAACCCCAGCTCCCTCAGCCTGTCCTCAGAGCAGAGCTGCTCCAGCCCCTGGGTCAGCTTTGTGGCCTCCTCTGGACTCATTCCAACAGCTCTGTGTCCCATCCATAGAAGCTGTAGATCTTATTAACTGACATACTCTGTGTATATTTAATAATGCTTATTAAATAATAGTTGTTTAGAGCTTTTAGCAGTGGTAAGTTAGTCCTGGAGAACTGTAGCTTTGTAAGTGACCTAATGATGTCACATCACGCGAGTTTCTGCAGGGACAATGCCTGTGAAGTTGTACGCATCAGGTGGAACTGCTTAGTTTGCAGGTGCAAACACTGTTGCAAGGGTGAATTTGTTTTGGTTTTCTCTGTATGTTTTATAGAGGTTTAGAAAGGGATTTTTAATCGTTACAAATGAGCAGCTTGAACCATGGCTGTCATTGTGTCTTTGGTAGTTGAGGAAACTGGTGGGTTAGAACATTCTTGATTGTGCTGCTGTGCTGAAACTGAACCCCTGTGCAGAACTGAAACCCTGGCATTAGCAAATGGAATGTTGGCAGCTCTCAGAGTTCTGTCTGTGTGTAAGAAATAGGGGAGAGCAGCGCTTCGTTGTGAGCTGTGAAACTTGTTCCTCGAGAGCTTGTAACCGAGGGAATAAGGTGCCTCCGGACACCTGTAACCACGCGGCTGGTGCTCTCTGCAGTGGGACGACCCGACAAACCCTTCGGAACCGGGACGGGGATCTGTTTGCACCCCCTGAGCTGGCAGTAACTACACCACAGCTCTGATTTTTTTAGTCTCTGATGAAAAGACCCTCAATATTCATGACACTGCAGAGATTTCCACAGCGTTTACCTTAAATTTGCAGATAAATCAGCAGAGCTGGACTGTGCAATTGGGCGTAATTCAGCAAGAGTTTCCCCCCTGCTTAGTACTTAATGTGTTTTCTTTTTCTTGTAGGCAAACTGAAGGATCTTGGGAATTTGGTTCTCCGCCCCTTTGGCCTGTCAACAGAAAATTTCCAGATAAAACAAGATTCGTCAACTGGCTCATACTCCATCAATTTTGTTCAAAATCCAAACAACAATAGATAACACGAACACAGTCGAGATCTGTTGGCTTTCAGGCTTCGTGACTGTGTGCTTGCCCGTACCAATAAAAGGATTCAGCAAACCTTCTTCACACTCCCCAGGTGAAGATAAGACTTGAGCATATTCGTGCCCCTGCTTCTGAAATTATTTATAATGTGGATGTAAAGCAAGTTGTTCAGCTTCCCTTAGTGATAACTGTGTCCAGTGTGGGATTCACTCATTTTTTTTAATCTTCTTTTTTTTCCTTCCCTTGTGACGTTTGCTTGTGTTTGTTATTCTGGCCCGTTCAATGCTGGCAACAACATGCTGCGAGCAGTTCAGTCGTACCAGAACGCTCCTGGAGCTGTAGCCACGTGCCAGGGTCTCACCCAGGCGGTGCTCCGGTGCCAGCCCTGCCCCAGCCTCCGGCCCTGGGGACAGAATTCCTCCTTCCCCCAGCTCTGCATGCTGGGCGTGATGTCCTCTGCTCTGGAATATCCGCTGTGCCCCCTCCCAGCTCCCTGAGTGCCCTCCGCCTGCTCATGGCTGGGCTGAGGAGCAGCAGAGGCCTCCAGGCTGTGTGAGCCAGCACATCCCCGCGCTAGCAGCCACTCTGCTCAGCGCACAGACCCACAGCGCAGCCCTGTACCAGCTACTGTCAAGAAAATTAACTCTGTCCCAGCCCGACCCAGCACGCCACGAACAAAGCCTGGTGCTGCCTGGGGGAATCGAGCAGAAGCGCTTCTGCCCGCTCAGCGGGTGGGTGGGACTGCCAGCATGCGTGGCAGCCGGCCGGCCTCTGCTCTGGAGTGATCTGTCCTTCTAATAAAGGCTTCCTGCTTCTGGTCCTTGGTCTGTGAAGTTTTTGGTGCCCCCGAGTCCTTCCCGTGGTGGTAGTGGTGCTACAAGTGCTTGTAGCCACCCACAAATAACGGACTTGCAGGACGTTAATTTGACACAGTCGCGGTTTTTTGTCTCGCTTAGAGCAATATCAGGGCCACTCTTACAGCGCGGTTATTTACTTTTTATTAGTCTTTCTGGAGGCAACAAGGACATTTTGTAGCTCTGTGTGTGTATATGTGTACATACATACACACGCTTCGTAATGGTACCGTCAAATCAGTTAAATTTGCTTCCCTGAGATTCATTCATGTGACAAAGATCCATAATGGCAAACAAAGAAGTGATGTTAAAATTAATTGCAAAAGATCCTTATGGTGTACTAGACTTTGAAGACTTTGAAATTATATATATATTTATATATATATGTGTGTGTGTGTGTGTGAGTGTGTGCTGTTGAAGTAGTTCATTGAGATTGTGGGAAAGGGATGTCTCTTGTAATTATTACCTTTTTTTTATTGACGCTGAAATGTTTACATTGGAGGCAGATTTGTCAGTTGTCTCCATGCAGATTTGAACAGGAGATTTCATTAAATAATCAGCGGTGGCTCTCTGTTGGCTGTTGGTTGTCATCTTGAATTTATTTCAGGAATTCTCTCTCTGCGTACTTAAGGACTGAAATTGCAGAGCTCTGGTCTTTACCCTGATGTGCCTGAAAGGAACAGCGGAGGCATCCCTGGGGCATTATTTCCTTTCTGTTTCTGCAGCTGGGGAGGGGATTTTCGCTCGTGCGACACTGACCTGCGGCGTTGCTTTTGGTTCTTTTGACTTTGGGGGTTACGTGTTGGCTTGAGAGCGATCTCAAAGCTGCAGTGAGTGTCTGTGAAGTCTATGGAATTAAAATGTCACTGTCAAACGAAGAAAAAAACCCCTAATTCAGTGAGGCCTGCGCAGCCTTTAACATCTTCTGCATAACTAAAATGTCACTTAAGTAAGGACCCGCAAACAGGCTCTAGGATTTCGGCGCGCTAAAGCCGTAACTGCTGTGCTTCACCTGATGGACATTTCTAACGTGTGAGTCTGTGTTTCCTTTACTAACAAAGTTTGGGCGATGGGGTAGGGCCGTGGCGGGGAGGTTTTCAGGGAAGATTTTGCTCCCCGGAGCAGCGGCTGTGCTGGCGGGGAGGCGCGCTTCTCCCGGCGGGGCCCAGCTCCTGCGGCACTGGGTGCGAGGAGAAGGCGTGCTCGCACCCCAGGGCTCTGCAGGTCCCGAGAGCTGAACTAGCTGTGAAACTACCTGCTGGTCCCTCAGCCGAGCTCG